AATAATAATAATAATAATAATAATAATAATAATGATGGACAATTTGTTCATAAATATGTACTTCTAGTTTCTGCAGAGTGCAGAGGGTTCTGACATTCGAGAAATAAGCTTTAAGGAATTAATAGTTTTTTTCTCAGATTAAAAGCCACTTATTTGACAATATGAGACCACAATTTCTCTGCATTCAAACACATTTAACAGAAATGGGAGACAGATACCTCAGTAAAATACTACCTTTCAACTACTGGATGATATACCACTGACTCAACTCAAGTGAAGTATCACGAATCTTTCGACCCATCTTGCCTCGTGCTATTCCAGAATCAAGACTATTGGCTGTGAGTCTCTTAGGCGAAGCAGAGATTTGTTACTCTTCGCTAGTATCGCTCGAGGTGTTGGGCACACGAGTTGTGCTCGATGCTCGGATCGAGCTCGTTGGGCATTTGACTCGAGCTTGATGGGTGCTCGGCTCGCTCTTGTCGGGTGCTCGGATCAAAACTTTGGCACGAAAAGTTTCTTCTATTGGTTCTGACAAAAACACCAAAAACAGATAAAGAAAAAACAAAAAATATACTAACACGACCTAAAAACTATAAATTCAAAAAACGCACATAGACCAAAAAATATAATTAAGAGCTGAAAGATGGTGTTTTGTGTCTGTTTTGTCGTAGTTTAATATAGTTTATTATTTATTTTAGTTAATTTTATAAAAACTATGATGTAGGTGTATTATTTTGAGTTTTTATAGGAAATAAGGTCGAAATAATTATTGGAGTCCAAAACTGAAAGAAACGGATAGAATTGGAGTGCGAGCAATGCATTGGGACATGCCCGATTACACATTCCGCAAGAGTAATTAAAGAACACATACATTGTGGAAAATACCTCTTTACTCAAGCTTAAATAGCTCTTTGTGGGGTGGTTTTATAGATCTTGTTGGGCTGTTTTTCGGCAAAACGGAGCAAATAAAATGGCGGTCATATTACTATTGCAGGCTGTGTAATTGAGTTCGTCCCATTACACGGTACGTTATTCGTTTTCATCTCTTTCTTGTTGTTTCATTGTGTGTGTGAGGCGTGGACACACCGGATTGTAGAGACAACAAGGTGATGTAGCTGAAGCACCGTGTATGATGAACATGTATGATGAACATTTGCTATGCAAGGTTATGACTTAAGGACTAGTTTTTGATAAAAATCATGATGACAGAATGTGAAACTCATTAGTTGCAAATGATCACGTATCAATTGAAAAATTTAAACCAAATTTTATAATTTAATTGTCCAAAATTGATTTTCCAAACCAATATTAACCCATCATACTATGAGTCTGTTAGAAACACTCTAACATCTCCATTTCAATCTAAGTCGAATATTCCTGTCTTGTGTTCGTTTTCGCAACTTCCCCAGCTTCTTCCACTGCATGAGCTGCCATTGTTGCCCGTCGAGACTTTCCACAAACACTTGCTCCAAATCGTGCCGCCAAAGGCAGTGCTCGGTCCTGACTTTCGTGTTTGCAAGCAAGATGTTTAACTCAAACTCCGAGAATCTGTAGTTCCCATCCGAGTCGCTCACGACCCTACAACCATATACATGACTCGGTCGACAAACACGAAACAAGCCATTCGTAAACCGCATGTGCCAAGCCGCCGTGCGACACTTACAAGTATCAAAAATAAAGTTCAGCACCACCACAGGCGGCTCGTCACACAGAACAGCGCTACAGGGCACGTCCTGAAGGCCGACGTCCATCTGCAAAGACAGAGAAATCCAAGACCCACTTAGTGCCTTTAGCACTCGTCTCAGCTTAAGGAACCATGAATTGATGTCTAAATCGGGATCATTCTTATGTGAAGAGAAGAATACTTTTGAGGACCACTCCTTGGAAGTAGTGGTCGTGAAAGAGAATGTGTCCGGCGCCTGGGAAATATGGGCAGTGTATTCAAAATGGACAATGTTCGGGGCACAAATCGTAACTCCTTTTAGCAATATTTTTGTGGTACAGATGTGCAAGAACTTGATTGAATCACTTGCAAGATGGAATTCCTCGAAACCGGAGCAATTATCTAGGTTCAAGCTCTCAAGAGTGGGGCAGCCAAACGATAACAGATCGAACGATTCGCTAGACAGGATCACACTATAGAGATCCAAACTCGTGAGACGAGAGAACAATAATGCGCTTTGGCGTTGAGACCAAATCCACGGGCCCTTGATGGAGACCGTCTCAATATTCTGGGCATCTATTTCGATGCTACGCCCTTCGACCCTCTCGTAATCACACAATTCAAAGTGCTTGAGCCCAGGCGATGTCAGCCTAACGTGTCTCAAGTTCAACGTCCAACAACAATTAAGGACGAGGCGGCTGAGCAAAGGGCAGCCCAATATTATCATGCCGCCATCAACTTGGACCTTCTCGAGGGTTAGTGTGCGCAGATGTTTGAACCGCATGCTCTCGACCGAGCTCTTGAGCTTGCAATTGCGCAGGTGTAGTTCTTCGAGGGAATCGTAATACGGCGGAGCTGGTGAAAGATTGCAAGGTGGTGACTGAAAGTTGAGTTTCAACACTTTTATGTTAAGGGTGGTCATCCTCGAGAGCCATTTGTTAAGAAGGGACATGACAGGTGGTGAGATAGGACTGGTGGATAAGTGGATATGGAGTTTGTGTACGGAGAGGTTTTGATCAACGTATCCTTGTAGGGTTCGGTCGACTATGGTAACAAAGTTTTGTTGTGTAGTGTTGAGGTTGGGGCGAGTTGTTGATCCTTTGTGGCGCCATGGTCTGGAGAGGAAAGAGAGAACGTGGTGACGTATGAAGCGGTTGACGGAGACTGACTTTTCTTGTGGGTCATCGAACCATTCTTCGGAGAAGTCGAGGTTGGGACGGGTTGATCCTGTAAGAACATTGGTTTGGCATCATGTCCGACAAACCTAAGTGTTTTCTAGAAGATTTCTTGTTAAGCAAGCAAAATAAATTAAAGGGAAGTTTTTCTATTTATTTACTTGTGATTTAATTAAGTTCCTAATATTTATTATTAATAATATATGGTATATATTCATTGTAGTATGTATTATGGAATCCTAATCCTTTAGGAGAAGGATTACATAATATATATCTTATATATTTACTTACCATATGCCACATGCCATAATTAGTTCTCTTTTGCTTGTATGACAAGGAATAGGTGGCAAGGACTATGAAAGGATGAGCTTTACATACAAGAAGAGATCTGGACGTTCATGAGAAGATCTAAGGAGGATTTGGAAAGATTCACCACAAGATCTTTGAAGATTTGGAAGATCGGCTATTTTTGGAAAGTCATGTTCTTACCAGATTCTGGAAGGCAAGATTTCCATTGGAAGTTCAATTCTGAAGATCTCCAAATCACATGCACGATTTATACATCAAGGAAACTTACCTTACATGAAGGATGTCGTCCAAATCAGAAAGCAATCTATTGAGAAGGAAATTGACTCCTAAAAGGAAAGGAAGAACTTGGAGAAGACTCCACCCTAGGGAGTTGTATATATACCCTGCTTGAAGATCGAAGATATGTGGCTGAGATAATTATCTTTCATTCAATATTCGAGCTTCAAGCCTTTTTGGTTTTATTTTGTTCACAGTTCAGTTCAAGGTTCTTACGTATCCAAGAACTGAAGCTGTTTAGTTTGTTTCTTTTTATTTCATTCAAACACTTTGGTGATCAGTACTTAGGGATTAAGTACAGTGGTTAGCTCGAGGGATTCGAGAGTTAGAAGTCCACGGGACGTGGCCGGAGAAGTAATTGATAGGATCGTGTGTAGTTGTGGCTAGACTAGAAGGGAGTTCGAGTCGTGTAAGTCCAAACTATACAAGTGTGAACGGTTTATCAATGAAAGAGCTCTGAGGGGAAGTGGGACGCTTCCCTGAAGAGTTTTTAAAATCTTCGGTTTATTGCTTCCGCATTATTCAGTTCTTATTTCAGTTCGTACCACCAATAAGCGCACTCCGTGATAATTATTCGTTTCAATTGGTATCAGAGCAGTGTTCCTGTTCTAACTACGGGATAAAGATCTTTGGGACT